AGTAAAGATAAAAATTATGAACAACAAATACGTATCTATCAACAAGTGAATTAAAAATCTGAGGAACAGAATAAACTGGTGAGTATAATAGAATCAGGGTCATAGAATGGGAGGGGATTGATAATTCTCAGGGGGAAAGGGATGTCTGTGTGGGGGATATGGGAAGAAACTGGTCAAAAATCATATACCTATGGATGAGGACAATGGGGGGAGGAAGGAGAGGTAAGGGCAGAGGGTGGAATGGGGACCAGGTGGAGGGGAGGTATGGGGGGGGGGGGTGTAAAAGATGAAACAACTGTAATAATCTGAACAATAAAGATTTTTTTTTAAGTAAAAAAAAAAAAAAAAAAAACTTCACTTAAAAAACACACAACTCTATTGGTAAAAAGACTGAAAATGACTAGGTTTCTCTGTCTGGAATGCTTTTTCATCTACTCTTTGACTTGCTAACTTCTAGTCATCATTCAGTGATGAGGTCCAGTCATCTCTTCAGTGAAATCCTCCCTGACTGACCCACACCCCCAACTAAATTATGTTCCTCTCTACTCCCACAGAGCCCTACCATTTTGTCTCATAGCACCTATCCCAGTTGTATTTTATTAATGATTTGTTTATTGTCTCTCTTCTAAACTACCTGTGAGGGCAAAAAACAAATCTGCTGCATACAGTAGTTGCAATTACAGAATAAATGCTATAATTTTATAAATTTATGTTAAAGAGCTTCACAGACAAGCTAAAGGAGTTTATCACCATCAAACCAGCATTATATGAAATACTGTAGTGTATTCTTTAAGAAGAGGAAGAAGAAGAAAAAGGAAAAGATAAAAATTATGAACAACAAAGTTACAACAAATACATATCTATCAACAAGTGAATAAAAAATCTGATGAACAGAATAAACTGGTGAATATAATAAAATCAGGGGTATAGAAAGGGAGTGGACTGACAATTCTCAGGGGGAAGGGGGTGTGGAGGGTGCAGGAAGAGACTGCAAAAAATCTTACACCTATGGATGAAGGTAAGGGCATGGGGTGGAGTAGGAACCAGGTTGAGGGGAACTATGTGGGAGGAAAAGAGCAACAACTGTAATAATCTGAACAATAAATATATATTTTTTTTAAAGTTTGAATTGGTGACTGGTGACTAACCAGATGATGGGAGTGAGGGAAAAGTCAAAGAGGACTCCCAGGTTTCTGGTATGGGCACCTGAATGGATCATAATGCCACTGACCAAGACAGGGAACAGAGGAGGAGGCCTGTTTTTATCAAGTCCTTGTGGGGATATGGATAGCCCAGAAAGCAACCTCTCTCAGCACATTTTCAGCAGCTATAGTCAATACTAATCCTGTTCAGCAAAAACAAAGTGAGAAATCCTGCCCCTGTTCTAAGAACCAGCAGGGAGTCACCACACTTGGGAACCAGGGTATTCTGGTTATTAAGTGATTTGGGTTTTTGTTTTTTGTGGGCTTTTTTTTTTTTGGGGGGGGAGGGATTTGGAGGGGGGGGTTCTTGCTACTTTAATGATTGCTTTCTAAGCTTCACCACCTCTCCCACACACTACCATCTACAGTTTTAATATATTTTATTGATTTTGTACAGAGAGGAAGGGAGAGAGAGAGTTAGAAACATCGATGAGAGAGAGTCATCGATCAGCTGCCTCCTGCACACCCTCTACTGGGGATATGCCCGCAACCAAGGTACATGCCCTTGACCGGAATCGAACCAGGAACCCTTTAGTCCCCAAGCCAACTCTCTATCCATTGAGCCAAACTGGTCTCGGCTACAGGAGGCATTTCAATCCCCATATATCTCTAGCAAGTCCACTGAGCTTGTAATGTTGGATTTGGCTATCCCTTGATTATCCTCCTTGGAGCTTCAGGCTAATAGAAAAGGGATAGAAGAACACAGCTTCTCCACAGTCATGGGGTGAATCCATTAATCCTCCTAATAAATTTTGCCATTTTAGCCATTTGAAATGTACAATTTAGTGGCATTAATTACAACAATGTTACCCAACCATCACCACTGTTTTTAAAACTTATCATCACATCAAACAATTCCTTACCATTAAAAAGTAAATTCTGCCGAAACCGGTTTGGCTCAGTGAATAGAGCATCGGTCTGCGGACTGAAAGGTCCCAGGTTCAATTCCGGTCAAGGGCATGTACCTGGGTTGGGGATATGCAAGAGGCAGCTGGTCGATGTTTCTCTCTCATCGACGTTTCTAGCTCTCTATAGCTCTCCCTTCCTCTCTGTAAAAAATCAATAAAATACACTGGTTTGGCTCGGTAGTAGAGAGTCGGTCTGCGGACTGAAGGGTCCCGGGTTAGATTCCGGTCAAGGGCATGTACCTTGGTTGCGGGCACATCCCCAGTAGGATGTGCCCGTTTCTAGCTCTCTATTTCTCTCTCTTCCTCTCTGTAAAAAATCAATAAAAAATATATTTAAAAAAAATATATATATATATTTAATAAAATAAAATAAAAGAGTAACTCCTAATTCCTTTCTCCTCTCAGCCCCTGATAACCTCTAATCTACGTACTTTCTGTTTCTATGAATTAGTTTATTCTAGGTATTTCACAGAAGTGGAATGATACAATATTTTCTTTTTGTGTCTGGCTTATTTCACTTTCCAAGTTCTTATCTACGATCTGTGTTTTGCTTTTGAGATGCCCTCAACCTAAAATGCCACCTCTTCTCTGACAGAAATTCTCCTCACCCTTCATGGTGCATCTCAAATGTCACTTCTACCACAGAGCCACTCTCCTTTTTTTCTTTTTAAATCCTCACCGAAGATATTTTTCCATTGATTTTTAGAGAGAGTGGAAGAGAGAGGGAAAGACAGAGGAATATTGATGTGAGAGAAACACATTGATTGGCTGTTGCCTCCTACATGTGCCCTGACCTGGGCACAGGCCAGGGAGGAGTCTACAACGGAGATACATGCCCTTAACCAGAATAAAACCCAGGACTCTTTGGTCCGCGGGCCAGTGCTCTATCCACTAAGCCAAATCAGCTAGATGCCAGAGCCATTCTTTATCCAACAGCCCTCACCTCTCCCCCTCCCCCCCCCAAAATCTGGATTTAGTCACACCTCCCTGTGCTTGCATAATGCCTGCTGTTACCTTGGGCACATCACCTGTTTCACTGTCATCCATTACAGGCAATTGTACTAGACATCTGTTTTCCACTAGACTAAGTTTCCTGAAAGGTGCACACCATGTCATATCCTTCTCTCCAACACCCCACAATCCTTATCACACAGTAGGTCCTCAACCAGAGTTTGCTGGTTCAAACTGAAAAGCTACTGATTCATGCCACCAAAGCCTACAGATGATGAGAGCTAAGGGAGGCAGGGTGGAGGGGGAATCAAGGGGAGATTTGAAGCAGACAGCCTCCCTCCTCCCACTTAACTGGTGGTGGTACTCCCCACTGCTCTAAGAAATTAAACCAATCTCGCAAGGAAGACTCAGCAGACATGTTTGGAAATGGTGGTCAACTTAAAAGAACTGCAAGTAGTTTCAAGGTTCTCCCAGCTGCTATTAGTCAGGTATTGACCTTGGGATGTGGTCACAGGGATTATATATTTTATTTTGCCATCCACTCCCTCTAACACTCTGATACCTCTAACTATATGGGCAATAAAGAGTCTTTCATACAGCCTCTGAATATTATCTTTGAGCTCCTCTGGGAACAGCCCAGCCTCTCAATCCTCCCACTTTTCCAGTGAGTAATTCACAGTGCCTCCTCTGCAGTCCCTCTTGAAAAAGTAGTTTTTCTCTCATTATATCCAACTTCCCTCCCTGAAGCTTTTCCTAACCTTCACCATTCAGACAGAAGGTAATTTGCCTTCTCAGCTGCCTGATTTAAAAGACATGGTATATTTCAAAAAAAAAAAACCAGGTAGAATTAGTAAAGGTTTTGATAGTTGTGGCTTCCTCTGTGATCCCATAAGCACTACATACTCAGATTTATTATAGAACTTAGCCATTAATTTACAACTGACCACTGTACATGTCTTATCTCTCTCACTAGACTGTGAGCTTCTCAGAACTAGTGCTAGTTTCCAACAAACTTCCCAGGACAGTGTGCATGCAATAAACTACCAGCTTAAAAAAATAACAACATAAAATGAACTGCTACTTTAGGTCCCTTAGCCAATCTCAGTGACTGAGTTCAGAAGAAGAAATATTTCAGAGGTGATCAAAACCAAAAAGTCTTTATATAGTAGTCAGTTCTGTGATGCAAAGCTCAGCTGAAGGGAGCCTCAAACAAGGGTCCTTTTGACAGGGCAACCATTCCCATGTTCCTCAGATACTCACTATGGTCAAAGTAGTAAACTTAGTTCTCCAGAATTTACTTTCCCAAGACCTGGCAGTTCAATAAATACATTCCCCAGCCCCCACTTCAATGTCTCTCCTATATCCTTCTGACCTTTAATACTGTGTAACATTAGATGAAAAATTAATTTTTTTTGGCTACTTATTTTGCAGCTCGAGAAAAAATATACTGTTTAAGGTGTTAAATATTTTTACATGCAACAAACCTGGCATGAATCTAACCTGTATGCACATTTTAGAGGTACAGGCGTAAATGTCAGTGCTATAATTTGTTATAGGTTTCTGATGACCAGCAATGAAAATGACCACGGATTCTCACAATTCAAACCACTTTTACGTAAATGTGAACTTTCCTAAAACAGTCAAGGGAAAGAACTTTCCATCTAAGCTCATAGAGTCTCTTAGAGATACTGATAGAATTGTTCACTGGCTTAGATGGTCTTTGAGAAAAATCCTGAAAATATTAGCTTCTTTCTGGAACTATGCTTTGACCTTTAATAAAAATGTTCTTCAAGACACCAATTATTAAAATGAAAGAACAGTTTTTATGTCTGAACCAACTGCCATTTCATATAATCAGCCCTGGTGGAGGCTATAAGTTACAAATCAGCAGCATTTAAAGAAAACATATTTGGCAACTTCACTTAAATTGCTCACTTACCAGACATGAAGAAGAGTTATAAGAAACCATGAATTGAATGTATCGGGCATCTGACACCCTAGAAAATAACAATAAAGTATAAATATATATGGTTCCAGCAGAGAAATACTGACTACATTTTAAATACTGGTAGGAATTTGTTCAACTAAAATATATGGCAGTTATAGTACTTTCTGATTATACTATCAGAGTAGGCCTGGGAAACCACAAGGCAAGACCACAAGTTGAAAGAGCATTGAATGTAGTGAGACAACCAGTCCCTGTTATCACCTTGCAGTTCAGTCTTCGGCAAATCAATTCTCTTCTCAGAACCTCAGTTTTCTCACTTTGTATAAGTAACCTAAACAATTTTGATGGTTCCTTCCAACTTCCATGTATTTTGCAGCTGAAGAAAAAATATACTGTTTAAGGTGTTAAATATTTTATCTGCTATTTTCCCTTCCTGTTCTCAAATTCTCCTGGAAAACGAGGCAGATAACACCTTGTCTATTCCACTTAAGCAAAGGCTTTTTTTCGCTTGAGCCCCACTGAGAAGTCTTAATTTCTTCTAGTCTCCTTTCCTTAAGGGTTACCCAGTATGATTCACCTGAAATAAATAATCAGGAGAAAGAAATGGGATCTGGGATCTAGGATCTAGGAAGCTGTAGCTGAATAAGAAATCAGACCATTTCTAACAAAAGGCTGTTCATCATCTTCAGGAATGATAAAACTGGACTTCTTCTGGGTTTAAGATACCAAAAATCAGGTCAGTGCTCAGGCATCCAAGCCTCTCAATTTTCAGATCTCTAAGAAATGCCTTTGACTGGATGAGGGGGTCCCTCGTTGAATGTACTCTCCTTATTACATGATCGGGATAAAAGCTGAAGCAAGAGGATAAAGTAAAAGAGAATCAGAGGATAGAGTCTGTCCTATGGAGCAATGACTCAAGAAATAAGTGGAATCTTCTGCCTTTCAAGAAACAATGAAGTATACAATGTACTAGATAACCAATAGGAGTTATTAGAAGAGAAAACACAGAACAGGACCTGTGAGGTATACTAACACACCAAAAATAATAAAAAGCTATAATTCATTGTGGGCTTAATGTGTGCCAGACATTAATACATTCATTGGCCCAATGAGTCCTCCCAACAATCCTATAAAGTAGATATTGATATTACCCCACTTGACAGGTGAGAAAACAGACTATTAGAGAGATCAGGACAATCGCCCAATGTCACAGCTATGAAATAAATGAGACATGTGGGATCAAATTCAGAGCTGCTTGATGCCAGATACTGTGGTCTTAATTGTCAACTGTCTCTCTAATACTAATATCAGAAACTAACATTCACTAAGGGCCCATACTATATGCCAGATCCACTTCTGGTCATGTCAATACCTTATCTCACCTATATAAGGGAGGCATTATAATCTTCATTCTAGAGATGAGGAAATGGGCTCAAAAAGGCTAAGTAACTTGCGGGCAGCCACAATATTAATGAACTAGTGGCTGGGTTGGGGTTTAAGTCCAGGTCTGTCACAAAGTGACACCAAAATATTCTGGTGAGCTTACTGGGAGGTGCCCAGCAGCTGTCAAGTGGACTTCCTCCTGGAGCTCAGCAGGAGGGAGGTGAAGGCTGGCCTGGCTGGCCATACAGCTATTAAGACACAAGCCATCTGAGAGTGGGCCAACCTCCCTCCACCTAGAACAAGAATAGCCATGAGAAACTCTCAAGCCCGGATCTGAAGTTGGGTCTTTTTTGGATGCTAGAACAAAACATTAAAAAGGAAAATTTTCTTGGAAGTCTGTCTTTCAATCTGGAAAATGAAATTTGGCTGCTTCTAAAGGACAATCTGTTCAATTGCTACCTTTAGATCAAAGCTGCTCGGCAGCCTTCAGGAGCCTTTCCAATTTTCTCAGAGAGGGAATCAGTTCTTGGGTTGGAAAGCACAGACAGGCCAGCAGCTGGACGTGGGTCACAATTTTCCTTTCTGGGGGTCGGCTCAGGGCTGAGGATGGGAAAAGAGCTGGTATATGATTGACTCCCTGTATCCATTAGGGTCAAAACAGAAACCCACAGTGAAAATCCCTAAAAAACAAGACCACTGAATATTTGACTGTGAGTAACACAAAAACACAGCAGATTCTTTAGTTCAATGAAATGAGTTTAAACACTTCAAAGTTAAAACCTGCTGTGGAGTCTTTTGCCATTATCACACTTGCTCCAATAAACACTCACTGCATTATTTCTGAGACTAGTATTTTCTTCCTCGACACCAAATTGGAAAAAATTAAATAATTAATATAGTTGTTCTTTATTGCAGGCTCTGTAGACAAGCTGCTTGATTTAAAACCTTAGCTACCTTTCAGTCGCTATGTGACTCTGAGTCAAGTTACTTACTAGTAGCCTCTCAGTGCCTCAGTTTTCTTCCCTATGAAAATGGGGTGAACAGAGAACCTACCTTATAGGATTTTTGTAAGGATTAAATAAGCCCTGTAAAATGTTTAGCAAAATGATTATACTTAATAGATACTCAATACATATTCAGTATTGTTGGTTTTCAGTGAGTCATTTAAACATCAGAAGTTAAATCATCTTTGGAAAAACTAATTTCAGACTGTGTGAAAAAAAAAATGATGAACTTCAATCATTGACTCATTCATTAAAGAGTCTCTTCTGAGAGTATTATCTCTTCAGGCCTCACAATAAAACAGTTTGCAGACAGCAATATGGAATTAAACACAAACTTTACTGATTGGCCACCTCTGATCCAAAGTGCTTTTCATAACAGAACTGATCTCTAAAAGACCAGTTAGCAAAGCACTGCCTGCTCACAGAAGGAGTGATCATTTATGCACAACCATGGGCTGTTAAGGTATCTCACCAGTCAGAATCCCCAATATCTAGCTCTCTGGATCAAGATCTTTGAACACTGTGGCTCTGAGATGACAGACTCTACTTTGGCATTTTTTGGAGGCCTGACCAAGAGGCTGATATGCATATTGTTTACTTCAAGTACACTATGGGTAAAATATCCATTCTTATACAATCTTCCTGAAATAGCACTGGCCTCACTTTTGTTGAAGTGAGGATGACACTGGTAAGCTACCTGAGGCTCTCTATCCTTTTAAAAAATTACTAAACTCTCAGAACTTTAAAAAGCCAAGCCCTAAAATACCAAAAATCCAAGGGACCAATGGCCACTTGAAAGGTGTAATTCATTCCCTCCCTCTCTCTCTCTCTCTCTCTCTCTCCCTCTCTCTCTCTCTCTCTCTCTCTCTCTCTCTCCCTCTCCCTCTCCCTCTCCCTCTCCCTCTCCCTCTCCCTCTCCCTCTCCCTCTCCCTCTCCCTCTCCCTCTCCCTCTCCCTCTCCCTCTCTCTCTCTCCCCCCCCTTTTTACCCCAAACCTATCTGGCCTACTCTTTAGAACCTAACATGCAAAAAAAGTCAGTCTCATTATTTTATAGATATTCTTTATCTGCCTACAAATGGTATTTTCAGATTGGCTTTATTATTATTATTATTCACTAGCCACAGTTTTTAATTTCTTTGTTTTGATTTTAAAATGTAATCTACCTGCAAATGACAAAGATGGACCACAATGGAGCATAATACAAATGAATACTCTATGGTTCTAAAAAGCAATTCTCAAATTGAGTCTTAGAAAATCTGAAGTCAAAAAGTGAGTGTCATTGAAAAATATTCTGCCTCCCTAGTTAACTACTTCAATGGACAAAGTTAGGACAAAGCCCATTGAGAATACACATTTAATATTTATAAACAACAACTTACTATACTAACAGAACATCTCATAAGCAGTTCTTATATAAGTATAATAGAATATCAAAAGATTAGATAAATTACAATTTCTAATTTGCAGTTACATTCGATCATAAATAATGTACAGTGGGAAAACTCCAGTATTTTATTTTATTACTAGAGGCCCAGCACACAAAATTCATGCACGGGTATGGTCCCTAGGCCTGTCCTGCGATCAGGGCCATCTTCCCTAGCTGCCCACAGCTGGCCCCGCCCCACCCACCCACCCAGTTCCCCATTCGCCATTGGGTGATTGTTGCCTGACAGCCAGGAGAAGGGACCAGGAGGTCGGCTGTTTCTGCCCGCTTGCTGACTCTGCCCCTGCTACGGGTGGCCATCAGGCAATCGGAGCTTGCCAGCTGAGAAAAGGACCAATGGGTGGTCAGTGCGCTTCATAGTGACTGGTCCAGTGGTCGTTCTGGTTATTCTGCCATTGGGGTCAATTTGCATACTAACCTTTTATTATATAGGATTACTAGAGGCCTGTTGCATGGAATCATGAACAGGGGGTGGGGTCTCTCAGCCTGGTCTGTGCCCTCTAGCAATCTGGGACCTCTGGAGGAGGTGTTGGGGCCTAAACCGGCAGTCAGACATCCCCTGAAGGATGTAGCAGGTGCCAAACAGCAGGCAGCCAGGGAGGAGCCCAAGCCAGGGCCGGGGTTGGACCACTCGCGCTCATCCCAGCCTGCTGTGCCTGCCACTTGGTAGCACTGCCATGAAGTTGGGAGAGGCTCCCAATGCTACAGCAGCTGCGCTCACCAGTCGTGAGCCCAGCTTCTGGCTGAGCAGCACTCCCCCTGTGGAAGCACACTGACCACCAGGGAGCAAGCTACTGGTGGCACATGATAGCAACTGGTCGACTCGTTGTTCCAGTTATAAGGTTGCTAAGGCTTTTATATAGAAAGATTTTTTTTTTTAATACCAGGTATTTAATAATTTTTAAAATTGATTTCTGAGAGGGAGGGAGAGGGAAAGAGATAGAAATATCAATGATGAAAGAGAATCACCAATTGCCTCCTGTATGCCAACCACTGGGGAACAAGCCCACAACTCAGGCATGTGCCCGACCAGAATCAAACCTGGGACCCTTCAGTCCACAGGCTGATGCTCTGTCCACTGAGCCAAACCAGCCAGGGCTTGAATTTTAAACTAGATGACACAGGGTCAAGGCTTGACTATGCAACTTTGGGCAAATTACTTAGCCTCTTTACCGTTTCAACTGTTTCTGAAAACAAAACAAAAATGAACTTAAATGTCTCATTATTCAATATTCTAATATTAACTCAAGAATTTTCAATAATGAGGACTAGCTAAGACAAAGATAACTAGTAAACATCATTTCAAAATAATTATAATAAATTTGAGTTATTTATTGAATCAAATATTAAGTAGGTGTCTTAGAATGAGGTTTTAAAATCTGATGAAAAATATGTAAGCACATGGATTCAGGAAGCTACTTAAGAAAAATCCAGTTACTAATATTTTTAGTTTCTTCATCAGATAAAGAATTTTTTCCTTTCAAACTATTTGAGAAACTATTTTTTCCTTTTAGACTAAATGAGAAACTATTAAGATTAAAAGAAGCAGGAAAGTTCATTTTCTTTACTATGAATAAATAAGAAATGGCCTGGCCAGTATGGCTCATTTGGTTGGGTGTCATCCTGTGCACTAAGACAGCAGTCGCCAACCTTTCGAACCTAAGGGACCACCAGTTGGCAACCGCTACACTAGGAGGTTGCCAGTTCAATTTCCAGTCAAGGGTATGTGTTCCAGTCACAGACTCCAACCCCAGTAGGGGTATAGGGATGTGTAGGAAACAGCCAACTGATGTTTTTTCCCCTCTATCTCTCCCCTTCCTCCGTTACCCTCTCTCTAAAAATCAGTAAACTATTCTTTTAAAAACTAATAAATGGAAAGTGGATACTAAATCAGGATGATAACTTATTATGACATTTTTAAATTTATAATATAAATAGTAAAAATAAACAAAACTTGCATTTGGTTTAAAAACACACACACACACACACTCAAAAACAGTCCTCGCTGCTTTGGCTCAGTGGATAGAGCTTTGACCTGTGGGTTGGAGGGTCCAGGGTTCAATTCTGGTCAAGGGCACATGCCCAGGTTGCAGGTTCAATCCCCAGTAGGGGTAGCGCAGGAGACAGCTGATCAGTGATTCTCTCTCATCTCTTTCCCCCTTGCTTCTTCTCTGGAATTAATAAAAATATATTTAAAAACAAAACAAAAGAAGCACTAGGCATTGGGCATGACTATCCACCATGATCTACCTGCCCAGTTAGGAATTTAAGATCAGATCATCCTGTGAGGTTATTTTCCCTTCCTCTCTGAAATCAATGAAAATAAAATAAAATAAAATAGTGCCCAGCCAACATGGCTCAATGGTTGAGTGTCAACCTATGAACTAGGAGGTCACAGTCGATACCTGGTGAGGGCACATGCCCAGGTTGCAGGCTCAGTTCCCAATGGGGGAGTGTACAGGAGGCAGCCGATCAAAGATTCTCTCTCATCATTGATGTTTCTATCTCTCTCTCCCTCTCCCTTCCTTTCTGAAATCAATAAAAATATATTTGTTTAAAAACTGCATCTAGCTTTATTATTAAAATAATTATATACAAATATAGTATTTGCTGTCTGTGAATAATACCAAGTGTGTGTGTGTGTGTGTGTGTGTGTATGTGTGCGCGCGCGCTCGTGTGTGTATAATATATATATATTTAGCTATTTGTTATTTTGAGGATAATGGCTATTACGATAGATCTGCTTAGGTATACATTTCCTCCCAAAATTTGTGTAACTAGAAATGGCTTAACTTTCTCAATGACTTTACAAGTACCTGCTTCAATTAACTTTATAACTATAACAGTCTATAATATCAAAATGGATACTTTATATAATCAAAGGCTAATGGTGGTCTAAGCCAGTAAAACCCTTTTGAAAAGTAATTTATCAATGTGATATGAATAATAAAACTGTATGTGCCTTTTGACCCAAGAGAAAGAAGAAAAAATCATAAGGCACAATCCTGGGTTAACTAAAACAACTAAAAACTAGAAATAAAAGAGGACCAATTGGCAAAAAGTTGACTCAAAATATTAATCAAAACATCCAGAATGTAAAACAAGAACTAGACCAGCGATTTTTAACCAGTGGGCCACAAGAATTTTTAAAACATGCTGAAACCAGTTTGGCTCAATGGATAGAGCATTAGCTTGGGGACTGAAAGGTCCCGGGTTCGATTCTGGTCAAGGGCATGTACCTTGGTTGCGGGCATATCCCCAGTATGGGGTGTGCAAGAGGCAGCTGATCGATGACTCTCTCTCATCAGTGTTTCTAACTCTCTATCTCTCTCCCTTCCTCTCTGTAAAAAAATCAATAAAATATATTAAAAAAGAATTTTTAAAACATATGATACCTGCCCTAACTGGTTTTGCTCAGTGCATAGAGCCTGTGGACTGAATGGTCCCAGGTTCAATTCCAGTCAAGGGCACATGCTCGGGTTGTGGGCTCGATCCCCAGTAGGGAGCATGCAGGAGGCAGCCAATCAATGACTCTCTCATCATTGATGTTTCTATCTCTCTCTCTTATTCTCCCTTCTTCTCTGAAATAAATAAAAATTAAAAATAATAATTAACTAACTAATTAATTACAGCTAAAAAAAAAAAAAAATACAATACCTGACTATTTAGTCAGGGGCACTGACCTCTTTCCTCTTGGATTGTCAAAAAAATGACACATGGTATGAATGATCAAAATTATACCCATCTTTTTTTGTCAGATCAGCAAAAAATGTCTTTTGGTCTGCTGCAGAACTTTAGTAATTATTTTATGTGTATCATGAGATTAAAAATTTCTGTATTATTCAAATTTTTAGATTTCCCCCACACATACAGTTAAAATGTTTTAATTATAGGGTTCTCTGATCTTTGTTGATTATTAAAAGGAAAAAAATAGCAGCTTTTATTACACATGTTGTGAAGAAAAAATGATTTCATTAGTTACTTAAAAAAATTAATCCTATTAAAACATAATCATAAAAATAAAAGTAGATTCGTTTTCCTTTTTAGAACTATCGAAAACAGCAACTTACTTAGAAAGAATTCCTCGAAGTCAGTTTTCTTCACACAGCTAGTATACATTCGTAGGGCTGCAATCTTAATCTTCTAGACAAAGAAAACAAAACCAAACTCAAGACATGACAAGTGGATATTCTTAGGTGAAGGTCACAGAACCTTAAATTTCTTCTACTAGAAGGACGGATGCAAACTTGTCTCTACAAAATTTAATAGCTGAACAAACAGATACTTATCTGTACTCCTAAAGCTACTCATTCATACAGACTTCACACAAGTTGCACATTCAGGACTTTAGCATGAAAATGTCAAAAAGGTTTTTCCAATATTTAAATAAAATCTCTCCTTTAAGTCAAGCATCAGCCACATTAGCTTTTTCATTTGAAATCCTTTATATAAAAATTACCCAGCCGAAATTCGTCTAGTTCAGTGGATAGAGCGTCGGCCTGTGGACTGAAGGGTCCCAGGTTCGATTCTGGTTAAGGGCATATACCTTGGTTGCGGGCACATCCCCAGTGGGGGGTGTGCAGGAGGCAGCTGATCGATGATTCTCTCTCATCGATGTTTCTAGCTTTCCATCCCTTTCTCTTCCTCCCTGTAAAAACTCAATTAAAAAATATATTACGATATTTAAAAAATTACCCATTCCCCTGACCAAAATCAATTAAACAAACAAGTAAAAGCCATAAGCCTTCAATCTTTTCTCAGAGGCACAACTACCTATTCCACGAGTGTTTTTTTCCTTTGGAGAAGAGGTCATTTTTTTCTGTATTTCTCTCGCTGATTAACAGACTGTGTTTATAAATAAGAGCTTCTAATGAATATAAAATATAGTAGGACTGACTGACATTTTACTGTTCTCCAAAGCATTAAGAATTTATGTGAAATTTTGATCTTATTGATGGTTTTAATCTATTCACTGAGATATATACTTAAGATTTGTATATTTATTATATGTGCATTATGCCTTAATGAAAATAAAACTAAAAATAAAAAGATAAGTTCTTTTAAGAATTGAATTGTAGGTCTGAAGATCAACTCAGTACTAACTAAACAGGTATTTCCCATGTAGAGATTTTCAAAATACTTCCTTAAGGATAAATTAAATAAACTAGCACATTAACAAAAGGCTTATAGCAGCTTATTTACTTTTTTTTTTTTTTTAAGAACTAGAGGCCCAGTGCATAAAATTCATGCACAGGTAGGGTCCCTAGGCCTAGCTGGCGATCAGGGCCGATCAGGGCCTTCCAGCTCAGACTGGGGCCTTCCTTCCCTGGCTGCTGGCCAGGGCCTTCCTTTGTTCCACGCCACCCCCTGGTGGTCAGCACACATCATAGCAAGCAATCAAACTTCAGGTCTCTTGGTCCAACTCCCAAGGGGATACTTTGCAGATTAGCCTTTTATATATATAGAAGATAGTTAAAAGAAAGAAAAGAGAAACATCAATGTGAAAGCACAACATGGGCTTGCTACCTCCTACACGCCCGCTACCAGGGATCAAGCCCACAATTCGTGCATGTGACCTGACCACATATTGAACCAGCAATCTTTTGGTGCATGGGATGGCACCCAATCAACTAAGCCATACTGGCCAGGGTAAAGCTTATTTATTCTTAATATGACAGAGGAAATTATAAACTCAAATATGCACAAACTAAAAAATATGCACAAATTGAAAATGACATAGCAACTAAAGAAAAACCAATTTATAATTTTAGTAGAGGTATGTTACTAAGGTTCAAAGTCACCAAGGATATATTATATATCCAATACTACGTAATCTTCCCTATACTCTCTAGAATCAAAACAGCAGTCTTTGATGAGCAGAAATACCCATAATAAATTAAGGAAGAATTATGTCTCTGATTAAGATTTTTTTAATTTGCTAATTTGAGGACTGTCATGATTTCAAGGTTTTTAGTCTAAAGCTCACATAAGGGAAAATGGAACAGAACATTGTGGACGAAAGGGGACACAATTTGACCTGACAAGCTCAGGAGAGGCCTGCATAGCAGTCTTGCAAACTCAGAAACCTAAAGTAGCCAAATGATGGTCTGAAATTAAACTTTAACTTAACGCAGTTATGGTGGGAAGTTACATCCTATCTTTACTGACAAGGTCAACCTTTACCTTAACTGAGCCTATCTGTCTTTTTGCATCTATGATATGCTAACATATCCTTGAAATGCCTGGGTAACTTGTAACTTCCCTTTTTCTGGAGCCTCCGGGGCACAACCTAATGTGGTGGGCACCAGGACAGATGCCACAAATTCCTTCATTATCATGTTAATTGTTCCTGCACCCACCTAAGTATGTGTCCATCATTTCACTTTTTATCCAATCCCAGGGGTTTTCCCAGCTTTGCTTTATCCCACCTCCTTAATTTATAACCAGTGAATTTCATGTAGCCCACCTATGTCCCTCCTTTGATTGCAATGTATAATACAAATGTAACCCACCATTCTCCGGAGCATTATCTCAATCCGTTAAGGTTCTGCTTCCTGGCATATGTCAACAGTTTGGCTCAAATAAACTCACAAAAATTCTTTACAGGTTTCAATGGTTTTTTATGTTAATAATATGTTAACAAGCAGATATCAATATACCTATATAAGGAGTAAATCAGAATTGGAAGCTCACAGTTAAACAAAGCCCGAGCAAATTAAAACTAAAAGCAAGCAGAAATAAAGATATAATAAAGAGTAAGAGCAGAAATCAACAAAATTGAAAACAGAAAAATAATATAGAAAGTCAAAGAAGCCAAAGCGGGTTCTTAAATACCAGTAAAATTGATAAAACTTTAATCAGACTGTTAAAGAAAAAAAAAAAAAAGAGAGAAGATACAAATTACCAACATCAGGAATCAGAGGGGACATCACAAATCCTAAAGATATTAATATAATAATAAGAAAATATTAGGAATAACTTTAGATCAATATATTTGATTACCTAGATGAAATGAACAAATTCCTTAAAAGATATAAACTACCAAACAAAGCTCACTAAAATAAAATAAAAATAACATGAATAGTCCTGCACCTACTAACGTACTTAGATTTGTGGGGAGGGGAGACAGAAGACACACAAAAAAAGTTTCCCACAAAGAAAACTTGAGGCTCAGATTTCACTACAGGATTCAACCAAACATCTAAAGTAATGATACCAAATCTACACACTCTTCAAGAAAACAGGAGGAAAGAACACCTCCCAGCTCATTCTATGAGACCAATAGTATTCTGATAGCAAAACCAAAACTATAAAACCAGAGCCTTCATGAATGAAGATACAAAAGTCCTCAACAAAGTATCAACAAATAGAATACATCAATATTTAAAAAGGACAATACATCAGGATCAAGTGTTATTTCTCCCAAGAATGCAAAATTGATTCAACATTTGCAAATAAATCAGTGTAATTCACATTAGTAGGCTAAACCCAAGTCTATCTAACTTCATTAACACCTTCAGGTTCTTGGAAGTATCTGACACAGAACGTATTTTGGGAAGCAATAGTCCTTGCCATCACCAAACTAATGATATCCTAGTGATATCATTATCCTAATACTTTGGCCGTGACAAGCCTACTCCTATTCTTGAGACAGGGAGTTTAGAACACCTGTTAACTCTTCACTTCATTTGACAAATAATTTATTGAGTATCTAATTCAATGCCTGTCCCTGATTTGGATGCTTGGAATAGAGCAGTAAAGACAAACAAACAAAAAACAAATAAAAACAAAAACAAAAAACAGTAAAAAGGAAAAAAAAAAAACCCTCCTGCTTTCATAGACTTATGGCCTATTCAACTATAAACACATAATTTTAAGTAAAATTCCTAGTTGTCATTTCTTGATTTTTTTAAAAACTCTGCACTTCCCTTCAGATCCTTATATATATATAGAGTCCTCTGGGTTCGTAATTAATCACCCTGTCCAAGGAAAGGCAGACTTTTGCCCAAGGCCCAAATCTTTCCTTGAAAAGGAGGTTCCCCCCACAACATGTTCATGAAGAAAGCATTCATTACAAATAATGAAGACTTCACCAGATTGGCCAGGTATTTATACAGTGCTCATACTATGGCAATCAGGAGCATTTTATAGTTCCTCACTTTTCCTAAGGCAAAGCCAAGCCTTTATACTTGGGTGAGCCATTTTCCTGGACAAATCTCTAAAGCGAGTCCCTTGAGACATCATACAGGGACTGGAAATAACAACTTGGGGAAAGAGCCTCTTTAAGATTCATGTGTTAATATAAGTTAAGGAGGTAGTTGGAATAAATTTCCACCCAGTCAATATGTACTACTTGTTTTGGTCCTCAGATAACTTTGTGTTTATTTCATTCTAACTATAGAAGTCTTCATTGGTCTACTTGACTAAAACAAAAACACTTAAGACAGTTTTAGGAAATGAAAATCAGCCCTCCCACTAACATGCATTTTGTTCCATACTACAAGATGAAAAACAAATCTAAAAAAAGGCTTACACTAGGGGAAGAGGCTTAGAAGTCATTTGAACCTTCTACTCTGTACTGGAATTCCTTCTACAGCATTCCTGATTCACGGTCAACCATCTGGGCCCCGATTCAGATAAGTCCAATAACCTTGTGAAGCTACCTATCCCATTGGAGGACAATTCTCGTTAGATTTTTGTTTATTGAACTTAAATCTGCTTCATGTAACATTTATTAAACATCACCTGTCCACTGGTCTCTTCATTTTTTTTTTATATCTGCCCTTCAAATATCTGAGAAGAACCATCATGTCTTCCCTTTTCCAGGCTAAACATCCTTATTTCCTTCATTCAACATGGTTTCTAAAGCCTTCACATGGCTCAGTGCCTACTCCTAAATGCATTCCAGTTTGTCAGTATCCTTCAGAACGGGATTAATTTTTTGACTTAATGCTAATCTGAAAGCTGCCTATTCCATGACATATCTATGACATCTGGTAAATGTTGTCTTTGTCTTACCTGATATTGCTACATAAAAATAATGAAAAGAATAGTCATTCAGGATAGTCAAATAGGTAAGGAAAAGCTACATTTAAATTCTTAAATATGAATCTAGAATAAAAATGGAACTCCACAGGAAAACATTACAGAAAAAGATGGAGGGACCTGGTTGACACTGCTGATGTGAACAGACAGCAGGCATGTTTCTCCCTAATCAAAGGCATGTAAAAACACAAAAATCAAAGAATCTTGCCAGTGCAATACCAAGCAAGGGTCCAGCCATACATTTCAGGGCTCATAATCTTTCAAAATGGAAAGATAGACCTGCATTTTCCCACCTAACTTATACTAGAATGTCATACTTTGATGTCACAAATTAAAAGTGGTTGTAGCAGGCAGAAACTGCCATATCAAAAAAATTTTTTAAAATGCAAATATTAGAGGTCACAAGGGAATCAAGAAAAATCAGAGGCTAACTTAAGCTAAAGCAGTGAAGAAATTTTCTGGTAATTTAGTAATCTTCCAAATATTAGCCAACTTGCCCTCTGAAATTATAAAAAACACACTAGACAAAGAATATAGTAGCAATCAAGTGGAACCTAATCATCAAGAAATGAATAAATTTTTTTCTTTTCCTTCTTTCTGTTCTCATTTCTCGTTCCTCTTAACTAATTTCTAATTTCCAAAAAAAACAAAACACATTTTAAGCTTTTCAATCCAAATGCCATAATCATAACCACTTATTTTAATAGGGGAAAAGATTCTGGTTAATAACATTACCAAATATACCAATGATTATAAATTGTTAAAGAATTAAGATATAGAAAAGATAACTTTCATAACTATTATTTCTTTGATGATTTAAGAAGTTGCTTCAGGGTCTAGTATGTTATTTTCTTTATTTTCAAAGCCCCTTATTGGAATCACTGTTCACTTTTCAGAATTTATGTAAAAGGGAGATTATAGAGAAAAGCCTGTATTTACTGCAGTGAGAAGCATTAGGAAGAGGACCAGACATTCTAAGAAGAAACTAAAAGAAGAAGTCTAATAAAATTGAAATTCTAATTTGACTCCAACTCGTTAAAATTGTTAACTGGAATTATCTGGTAATTTGGACAAAGAAAGCTATGTTATCTAAAAAAATATTGGCTTCCTTTGATTAATATATTCACTTATAACTAATTAGGCTTATCCAACATCCTAGCAATTTCAAAAGGCACTTCTGCCATAATGGTAGAAAGAAACTGGTAGTATTAGAAAATGAGAAAAATGGAATGGCCAATGATTTACTACTTTAATTCTTAGAGACATTGTTTAAAAAGCCTAGGGGCAGTAGACACCTAATGTAGAGAAAATATTCATTAACTCACAGCAACTACTATATAGCAGATAACATGTTAGGCCAAAAGTTGACTAGGAATGGTACAGCTAGTAAATATCCCTCCACAATAAGAATTATCATAAATCATAGGGATTATTAGTTAATTTAAAAGATGATTTTATTAGTAAAATTTTAAAGCAAGTCATTACAGTGAGCTAGTGAAAATCACTCATAAATATGGAGAGAGTAATGTTTCCTTAAGAACACTCTCCATCAGAACATCTGGCCCATGTAATTCCTTAGAACTCATCTACATGACATATCATGTAGCAAGAACCTGGAAAGGGCAGTCTTATTGGCTTGCTTGTTAATGAGATACTTCTAAGGAATCAAGTGAAGGGAGTAGAGGGAACATTTCAGCCCTTCATGTTGTTTAGATCTGACTTAGAAAGGGATCAGGGGATAACAACAGATTCTGAAGCCTTCAAAATAATGTGTGAATTTCACAAAAGCAAAGCAGAAGCTTTAAATTTTTTTTCTACAAGGAACAGAAAGTACAAAGCCCAAAAGAGGAAAGAAAAAAAAAAAAAAAAAAAAAAGGAGAATTTAAAAGACTTTACCCATTTACTGTATTTCAAAGGTCCTGTGAATCCCATGGCTTCTATTATCTTCGTGAAAGCACCAACCTTCTCCTCAACTGGCTGTGGGAAATCCTTGGTAGTAGAAAGCTATTTAGCAAAAAGAAGGGGACCAAAATTAGTGGCAAAAAAAATTAGTTTTAATGCTTTTGTTGCTCATTAGGTCTAAGGGCATTTTTATTGCTTAGATTTTTTTTTCACCTAGAATTTATTTTTTGTTAATCCTCATCCAAGGATATTTTGCCATTGATTTTTAGAGAGAGTGGACAAGAGGGAGGAAGTGGGATGGGGAAAAGGGGAAGAAAAACATTTGATTGGTTTCCTCTAGCATGCACTCCAATGGAGGCCCTGGGATCGATCCTGCAACCCAACTACATGCCCTCCTGTGCACGGGCTGATGTTCTAACAATTAAGCAACACCGGCCAGGGCTAGAATTTTTTATTCTGATTTTTCTGGTTATCTTATTACTTAATGCAAACATATCTGGAATTCTATGTAATATATGCTTTGGAATTTCAAGAGACATATTTACCTCAATGACCATATGCCTATGAACCCATGTCTAGGAAATGATCGATTCTTGGTAACAAAATAAAAGTTCTATTTAAAAAAAAAAAAAGGTATTTCTAAAAAGGAAATCTTTACCCCCACCCCAACACACACACATTTCCCAAAGAATAATTGTAAGAAGAGGAATATGTTCTATGTTTTTTGACATAACAGGAAAAGGAAAGAAAAATATGTCTGAAAGCAGTCAAATAAGCAATAGATAAATGTTTTTTGCATTTTCTTAGTATAACAAATTTTATTAATGATTATAGAAGACATGAGTCTTGACGTTTGCAAATAAACTCCAAGGAAAACCTGTTCTAATGCTAAGCCTCTCCAAATGAAGGCAGGCTATATAATCGATAAATTCTCTGAAAGTTAAATATTACTTGATTTTTAACAAGTAAAAATTCAGAAAGACTTATTTCTCTAAAGCTTTGTCCAGGCAAGACAGCATAATGTAAGAAACAAAAGACATGAAATCAGAAGCTTTAGGTTCAAATACTCAGTTGGTCTGTTACTTACCATCCTTGTGACCTTGAGCAAGTCACTTCATTTTCCTAAGCCTCAACCTTCTGCATTGAATAAAATTCCTTGCACATCCAGCTAACAGTTTTGCTGAGACTTAAATAAGAACACCCATGTGAAAGCACTCAATAAACACAGAAAGCACTAATAATGCTCACCTTATTCGTAGTGTGATACTTCCTACTCAGCTGTATGTCTATTCCAGAAATCTGTTCTGATCCACCACATGCTAAGGACTGGCTCATCTGGGGCCCCTTGAGGATTTAAAAAACAACAACACAGATGTAAGCAACACTGAGCAGTCACTTACAGGGTTAATCTAAGCAGAGCTGCTTTAAAGTAAAGATTAGAATCTTTCCAACCTTGCTTAATCCAGTTCCTGGTGATCTGGTCACCAAGAAGATTCAAGATTGGCACCTAGAATATTGTCAGGTATATGGTAAGTACCTATTGAATTTTTGGATAAATAAAAGGATTCTGCCCTGGAAACCTGGAACTAAATAAGTATGAGTCAACTCTAAGAACTAGAACTGCAATAAATACCTACTTAAACATTGGCAGCAGTGCAGTATACAGGGGGAAGGGAGGAACCAATGATTTTCACATCAGTCTATTTTAAGTTTAAAACCTGCTTTTGTCACTTATAAGCTAGGTGGCCTTGAGGAAGTTACTGAAACTCAGCTGTAATGATTGAAGGAAATAATACAATAGTCCCCCCTTATCTGTGGTTTCACCTTCAGGGGTTTAAGCTACCGGAGAAGAATGCAGCCAAAATATATTAAGTGGAAAATTCCATAAATAAATAATTGTTAAGTTTTAAATTGCATATCTACCGACCTCATGCCTTTCCACTCCATCCCACCCAGGGCGTGAATCATCCCTTTGTCCAGTGTATACATACTGTATATGCTATCTGTCCTGTAGTCATACTGGTCATCAGATAGACTGTCACAGTATCACAGTGACACATCCTTATTTTACTTAATAATGGCCCTAAAGCACAAGAACAGTGATGCTGGCAATTCAGATATGCCAAAGAGATACCATAAAGTGCTTTTTTTAAAGAGAAATATAGTACTATATAGTACAAAGAGATACTTTGAGAGAGACCACATTCACATAACTTTTATTACAGTATAGTAATAATCATTCTATTTTATTATTAGTTATTAGAAGCCTGGTGCACGAAATTCGTGCACAGGGGTTGGGGGGTGTCCCTCAGCCAAGCCTGCACCCTCTTCAATATGACACTCCTCGAGAGATGTCCAATTGCCCACCAGGATAGGACCTAAATAGGCAGTTGGACATCCCTCTCACATTCCAGGGCTGCTGGCTCCCAAATGCTCACCTGCCTGCCTTCCTGATTGCCCCTAACTTCTTCTGCCTGCCAGCCTGATCACCCTCTAACCACTCCCCTGACAGCCTGACTGATGTCTAACTGCTCCCCTTGCCAGCCTGATTGCCCCTAACTGCCCTCCTCTGCCGGCCTGGTCACCCCTAACTGCCCTCCCTTGCAGGCCTGGTCACCCCCAACTGCTCTCCACTGCAGGCCTAGCCCCCCCCCCCAACTGCCCTTCCCTGCGGGCCCAGTTGCCCCCAAACTGCCCTCCCCTGCAAGTCTGGTGTACCCCAACAGCCCTCCTATGCTGGCCATCTTGTGGTGGCCATCTTGTATCCACATGGGGGCAGCCATCTTGTGTGTTGGAGTGACAGTCAATTTGCATATTACTCTTTTATTAGCTAGGATTATTGTTGTTAATCTCTTACTGTGCTTAATTTACATATTAAACATTATCATAGGTATGTATGTAAGTATAAGAAAAAATATAGTATATGTAGGGTTCGTTACTATCCATGGTTTCAGGCATCCACAGGGGTGTTTAACTATTATCATGTGCCAGGTACTATGCTAAGCACCTTACATATATCACCTTATTCGATCCTCACTACAACACTATTAGATTGGTATTATTATAATAAAGACCCATAAACATAATTTTGAAAATAAATTCTTTTTTTTTTTTAAATATATTTTGTTGATTTTTTACAGAGAGGAAGGGAGAGAGATAGAGAGCCAGAAACTTTGATGAGAGAGAAACATCGACCAGCTGCCTCTTGCACACCCCCTACCGGGGATGTGCTCTCAATCAACGTATATGCCCCTGATTGGAATCGAACCTGGGACCTTCCAGTCCACAGACTGATGCTCTACCACTGAGCCAAACTGGTTTCGGCTGAAAATAAATTCTTAATAAAAAAAAAATACATGTAGACTGATGAACAAGAACAGACCCAGAGATAAGGAGCCATGGGTCAGACTGTTGGACCTCAAAGGGAGGGTGGGGATAAAAGGGAGAGATCAACCAAAGGACTTATGTGCATACATATGAGCCTAACCAGTGGTCAAGGACAATAGGGGATGGGAGCTTGAGTGGGGAGGGGTGGGGAATTGGAATGGGGGGTTGAGGACAAATATGTGATACCTTAATCAATCAATACATTTCTTTTTTAAATACATGTAAGAGATCCTCATTGTAGAGTGAATGGGAGTAAAACTGGGAGGAAGTCTACCAAGGAAGGAGATGTTAATTAAATTAAGGTACTCAATGGAAAATCCAGTAACCACTGAGATTTTTTTTTTAAATGTTTTTATTGATTTCAGAGAGGTACGCGAGAGGGAGAAATTGATAGAAACATCAATGATGAAAGAGAGCCATTGCTCGGCTGTCTCCTACACACCTCCTACTGGGGATAGAGCCCACACCAGGCATGTGCCCTCAATCAGAATTGAACCCAGGACCCTTCAGTGTGTAGGCCAACGCTCTATCCACTGAGCCAAACAAACTAGGGCTACACTGAGATTTTTTAAATAGTTTTTAAAAATCTCAGTGTAGCCCTAGTTGGTTTTTTAGATTTTTTTAAAGAAGTTTTAGGTTCACAAGAAAAATGAGCAGGAAGCACAGAGTGCTCCAATATACATATCCACTCTCCCCTATACACAAAGCATCCCCTATTATCAATATCCTCCACAAGAGTGGTACATTTGTTACAATCAATGAACCTATATAGACACATCATTAGCACTCAAAGTCCATAACTTACACTAATTATTTTTAGCAACATGAAAAAACACAGTAATATGTACAAAATTATAGGTAAAAATATGACTGCATATGGTCAAGCCTAAGAAGGACCACACTGAAATGAAAAAAGTTACTTCATTAAATTAGTAGGACTATACATGAATTTAAGAATCTAGTTTCCAAGCTCTCAATAATGTTGTATTATTCTATGTAATAAAACCCTAATATGCAAATCGACCAAATGGCAGAACAACTGGTCACTATGATGCACACTGACCACCAGGGGGGCAGACGCTCAACCCAGAAGCTGGGCTCACAGCTGGCGAGTGCAGCAGCAGTATTGGGAGCCTCTCCTGCCTCCACTGCTGCAGGCCAGCAGTAAGGAGCGAGGGGTCCCGGACTGTGAGAGCCCCAGACTGTGAGAGGAATGTCTGACTGCCGGTTTAGGCCCAATTCCTGGGAATCAAGCGTAAGCCGGCAGACGGATGTTCCCTGAGGGGTCCCAGGCTGCAAGACAGCACAGGCCGGGCTGAGGGACCATGCCTCCTCCTCCCCTCCGTTCCCCGTCCCCTGCCCAGTGCATGAGTTTCATGCACTGGACCTCTAATCTTTATAATAAAAAGGGGTGGGGAAGGGGCAGGAGGAGGATTATCCTCCAATGCTGGCTTATTTCAAGAAGACATGAGACACTTGAAATGAAAATAATGTTTTTGATAATTCTAAGGAAGAAAAAGATGGAATTTCTAATTGTGAAGAGTTACTATTTACTTTTCTTTCCAAACAAGGACATTAAAAGATTAATCAGGATTCTTCTGGTCAGTCCCAAGGACATTAAACATTTACTCACAGATATCATCAAGCAGGCTTTGTAAAACACAGACTAAACCCAAAACACCTCCCATTACATCACATACATCAATGTAATAGTCCATCTAAAACACAAAGCACTTAGACAGGTTCAAAAACAACCAACAGCAGTTTCAGATTTGGGGATAGTTCTCTTCTATTAGATTACATGATTTTTCTCTTTGCCCATAACTCCAAGAGTAACCAATAGATTGCTTCTATGACTGTCTCACTACCTGATGTACTTCTGTCCTACCATTACTCATTAGATAGCATTTAACATTACACTGAACTACTGAATTACCTAGGTATCTAGTACCAAGGACAACATCTAGCTTCCCCATAATTACACACCTCTATAAGCACACACGATTACTTTTTTGTACCTCAGTGGTTACCAAAAAGACTCCCTTGATCTTTAAAGACATAATTTTTCCTTTGTTTAAATTTAAAAGATATCAGTAATTTTTGTAAAAGAGAAAAATACCCTTGAAATATCAAATGTCACTTCAAAGAGGTGACCACTTTATCTAAAATAGTTATTATCCCATTATTCTTTATCATAGCAGTAGCCTGCTTATTTTTTTAAAATATTTTTTATTGATTTTTTTTACAGAGAGGAAGAGAGAGGGACAGAGAGTTAGAAATATCTATGAGAGAGAATCATCGATCAGCTGCCTCCTGCACACCTCCTACTGGGGATGTGCCCACAACCAAGGCACATGCCCTTTACCGGAATCGAACCCAGGACCCTTCAATCCGCAGGCCAATGCTCCATTCACTGAGCCAAACCGGTTTCGGCTAGCCTGCTTATTTTATTCACAGTACTCAACAGAGGCCTGGTGCATGAAATTCGTGCACAGGGGTGGGGAGGAGGGGTGTCCTTCAGTCCAGCCTGCACACTCTCAAATCTGGGACCCCTCGAGGAATGTCCAACTGCCCACCAGGATCAAACCTAAACAGGAAGTCAGACATCCCCTTACAATCCAGGACTGCTGGCTCCCAACTGATCACCTGCCTGCCTTCCTGATTGCCCCAACTGCTTTTGCCTGCCAACCTGATTACCCCCTAACCACTCTCCTGCAAGCCTGATTGACGGCTAACTGCTCCTCTGCCAGCCTGATTGCCCCTAATGCCCTCCCTTGTTGATCTGGTCACCCCTACTGACCTCCCCTGCCAGCCTGGTTGCGCCTAAATATCCTCCCCTGCAGGCATGGTTGCCCCAAACTGCCCTCCCCTGCAGGCCTGGTTGCTGCCAACTGCCCTCCTCTGCCAGGCTGGTCCCCCCACAACTGTCCTCCCCTACAGACCTGGGTCCCCCAAAA